CTTTTCGTTTGGGTTTTGGTAAAAATAAATTTAAAAAATTTTGGGTTTTTTTTTTTTTTTTTTTTTTTTTTTTTTACAGCAATTTATTTCTGTTCAAGAAAATAGAAAAAATTGGAAACGTATACCGATTTGCAAATTTTAAGTTTGCTTACAGGTACAAAATAGAAGCAGGAAGGAACACATTTTTGCATTTAGGAACAAAATGGTGCATACAAAATTGGTAAAGGGATTTTGGTAACCAGGAGCTCCGAGTGGCTTTTGATTACTGCAGAGCAAGTTGTACAAACATGACCAAACTCTTAAAGATTAACATAAGAAAAAGAGTCCATCAGGATCTCATTAATTAGTTAATTAATTAATAAACTTCCACACTTTACAGATCCAGTCAACTTTCTTATTTTAAGTTTCCATAATTTACATGATTGTTTATCCTGCTAAAATGATTGTGAATCGGCATGGAATGTCCTATTTGATTTGAGCCAAAGATGTATCTTTGTGCTTTCATGCTGTTTAGGCTCGTTGCTGGGTTTGTGTTTTCCTTCAGGCATTGTGGTGCGCTTTAACGTGTTGACGGTGTCTTTTTCTTTCCTTTGTCACCATGTTTTGTTTGTTTGTTTTTTGTCCTCTCTGTCCCCCCCATATCTCTGTTATCCTCATCTTCCCCTCCCCCCTTTTTTTATACCATCTTATGCCTGCACACCTCATTTTCGGGTGCCGGTGCGTTTGGTCTTACCCGACCCCCAGCTCTCCTCCTCCACACTCACTCCTTTCTCCACACCCCCTGCCCCTTCACCTCCTAACGGAGCCCCGTCCCCCAAGTTTGGCCGGGACCCCCTGTCGTACTGTTTGAAGGAGATCAATAAGACAGTCAAACCCAGAATCTCTTCCTTCCGGACACTCAGGAGATCGGTGAGTGACAAGAGGAGATGATTCGGGTGCAAGGCCACCAACACTTCTAGTGACATAGACATTATTCTCTGCTCTTTGCCTCTCCAAAACCTTCTCCATCATTATCAAAGTTAAGGCATGCATACTCTTTGTATATCGAATAACATATTTGTGACATAATGCAACCATCTTTTGAGGTTACCTAAGCAGGTAAACAGTTAAAGTTACTGTAAGGTTTTTACTGGATATGTGCTGTTTCTCTTTCTCCCCTCAGAAATTTACCCCAGACAGGATCATGGTAGGGTAACAGTGTCATCAAACAAATGGTGTGGGGGTCTAAGTTTTTTAACTCATAAAAAATTGGACACGTTTTCTTTACAACATCTCTTGGGTAAATTTATGATGTTATTCCTCAACAACAAGAACAACAACAAAAAAAAAAAAATCTTGTAATGTATTAGTACTTATTGATGACCTTTGGTGTTGTATTGAAAAGGTGGCCATCTGGTGGAGGAAAAGTGACACTTAGTTCAGGATGAAACTTGTCAATCAAGAATCCAGTTTACAATTTTACTTTTGTGTCTCACCTCTTTCAAAGTTTTATATATATATAGCTTTTTTGGGGGTCTAAAAACCACATAATTGTTGCTAGTTTGTAATTGTTGGTAAATGGGTATTGACTTTGTGTTCGGCTCTCTAATGAGCTAATTTGTCTAAGAGATCTAAATAAGCGATCTAAACTTTGAGCTGGTTGCAAAGGGCATTCTTTCTCACCTGTCTGGTTCTGTAGTCACGGTGACGGCACGTTTACGAAGGTGACAAATATGAGTCCGAGTTCAGTGCTAACCCACGCTTCCTATGACGACGTCTTGCAGCCTACGGTGACGGAGGACTTCGGCCATCTCCCCCCGGAGCAGCGCAGGAAGAAGTTACAGCAGAAATTAGAGGAAATTTCTAAAGAGCTGCAGAAGGAAGTGGATCAGAGGTGTGTGTGTGTGTGTGTGTGTGTGTGTGTGTGTGCGCGCGCGTGCATGCACATGACGGCTTCCTGCCCATTCGTAGCAATCCCTGTTCGAACCTCTCTGCTGGAAGAATAGATACAATATTCATGCAGTGTAAACAAGTCTGAGCGTGAGTGAATTGTTTACCCACCCCTGAGCTGTGGGGGATCAAAATTCCACCGAAAGTCACTTTGCTTCTTCTCCCCCCCTTGTTCATGTCTTCTTCCTTGTTTTCCTTTGCAGCGAAGCGCTCGGAAAGATGAAAGATGTTTATGAGAAAAATCCTCAAATGGGAGATCCAGCTAGTCTCGCAACCCAGATCAGTCAGACGTCTCAGAATATAGAGAGGCTCAGAGGAGAGCTGAACAAGTACGAGGTAATTATCCGCTCTGTTCTTTATTCATAAGACGAGGGCCTCGTTTCATTATAATTTAGGACCCTGGGTTATGTCACAGTGTGCCAGTCGTGCAGATAAAGCTGGCAACATTAAACGCGTCTCTGTTATTGTCAGACTTGGCTGTCTGAAGCAGGTGTTCGGGGGGACACACTACGATACAGAGCTCACTCATTTAACAATAATGGAGCTCATGAAGTTCTTAGGTGGGTTGATTTTCTTCCTTTTTAGAGATGCATTTAAAGCAAAGTGTGTTCATTCTCTTTGTTTCTAAAAAGACGGGTTTCCTTTTTTGCTTTCCAGTCCTGATGGCGCACATTCAGATGAAAGCACTCCCGACCCCTCTCAAGCTATTTATGCCGAGTTTGATGACGACTTTGAGGATGAAGAGCCAGTGGCGCCCATCGGGAAATGCACAGCGATGTATAACTTCCCTGGTATGTTTTTTTTTTTTTAATTTAATCTAAAATATGTTATTTTTATTTAGTTTCTGAGTCAATTCTGTTTTGGTTGATTGCATTTTTTTTTACTTCAGTTTTTTTAAATTTTTTTTTGTAATTTCAAATACCATATAAAAAGATTGAACAAATTAACAAATTAAAGTTCCAAATATTTTATTTTCCCTTCAAAATAAATGACTGGGGTAAAATGAAACTTGACAGAATGCCTTGCTGGAATGTTGGCCCAATCCTAAAAGGACTGGTGTAACTGAGTCAGGATTTTAGGCCACTTTGTCACCGTTTTAGCTCTACCCCACAATCAATCTGTGGGAATGAGATTACCACTCCAAAACATTGACTTTGTTTTGTCTTAAACCTAAAGTAAACCCACATTTTTCACATAAAGTTCTTTTCTTTTTCATGCCTTATATTTTGTTGAATGCACCAGTCAATCAAAGACACTCACAAAAGGATGCTGACACTTCCATATTTGCTTTCCTCTTTTCTTCCAGGTGTAGCAGTGATGATACTGACATTCACATCTGTAGGGCTTGTTTCACTGTGGATACTGACACTCCTTTATCAGATACAGCGCAGCATCTTTTGCTTGTGATGAGCACATTTTGCTCCAAAACATTATTCATCTCTGAGACACAGAATTAGTTTTCTACCTGTTTGATATGACTGGTCATTCTCCTGACGTTTTGTCTTGCATTTATGTAATTAAGCAGATGAATGGGAATGGATTTGAATGATTTTTCTGCTAAGGTTGAATTGGAGAATTGTGGAGATTCACAGCTGTCTCCCTGATATCTCATCTTATTTCTTTGGATTTTTTTTTTCATGATGTCACACAAGAAAGCTGTGTGTTTGACATTTTGAATAAATTATTTATACTGAAATGTGTATGTAGCAACACGGGTATAGACTCGGCTCAGAATAACCTAAGCCACTCTTACTTTAAGCCTTTTCCAAAAAGGACTGTTTTAAGTTTAGTGTTAAAAGTAGATGGGGCTTCTGCCCTATGGACAAAAGCTAGGAATTGGTTCCACAGCAGATGAACCCAGTAACTAAAAGATCTAGGAACCACCACCAGAGAACTGCAGTGTTAAAATAAAGGGAAGATGCAATCCGATTTGTGATATAATATAAGAAGAAGGGAAAAAATTTATGAGAACACTAGCAACAGCATTTTGGATAAGTGGAAGCATTTTATTACAATAGTCAAGAAACAACTGCATGGACTAGTATTGTTATTTCTTTTTAAATGTTGGCAGTGTTGTAGAAGTGACAGAAGGAAATCCAACAAACCTGTTTAATGTGATTTAAAAAACAACAACAAAAAAAAATATTTCATTTATTCTATTCTGTCTGATTTTTTTTGGCTAATTGGAAGCATATATATGTAGACATATAGATATATCCATATATGAGAATTGGTCCAATCACTGAGCCTTGTGGTACTTGAGTAACCGTGGTGTGTGAAGATGTCATTGACATTAACAAACTGAAATCTGTTAGACAAAGACGATCTAAATGTGATTCAAAACAGACTTTTCCATTGATCCGCACATGTCCAACCTGCTGTAGGTGAATACTGTGATCGATGGTATTAAAATGGTGTTAAATACGTCTCTGAGATCTAAAAGAACAAGCGTGTGTATATATATATGCTATCAGTATCAGAGGAGCATTAGTGATTTTCACTGGAGCTGTAATGAGATCTGAAACCTGACTAGCTTTTCAAACAGGTAATCACTGTGTAAATGTACACACAGTTGATTCATCCGTAAATGTCTGATTTTGAAGAAAGTAGTGGAGGGGAAAAAAATCACATTGCAACAAATTCTTGGTCTGATTTCATATTACCTGGTGAGTGAGTGGAGGAAAAATATATATATTTTTTATACAGCGCATGTAAATGTCTGATTTGATATAGTCACTATGACATTACAAAGTCAATGTTTTGCATTTCAGGTGCCAGTGAAGGGACCATTTCGATGCAGGAAGGGGAAGTGCTGGCTGTAGTGGAAGAGGACAAAGGAGACGGCTGGACCCGAGTCCGAAGACACAATGGAGATGAAGGCTATATCCCTACATCTTATGTCACCATCACATTAAACAAATGAGCGAGAAAGAGACATTCAGGTTACCGTTTTAACGTCATTTCCGCCACATGTTGGAACAATCATGATGAAGCCATGTCAGAAATGGGTGAGACCATCCAAAAGTGCTTTGATATGTTTTTTTTTTTTTTTACTTTTTACAAGAGAGGCACCACATCTGATTACTATGACTATTTTACTTTATCCTTGGCATACTGTAAATTTGCAGTAGAGTTCTCACTCACATTTTGGAGCAGATAGTTCTTATTAACACCTGTGTTGGTTAGGAGAATGTTTTTTTTTTTTTTTTTTTTTTTTTTTTTTGGGGGGGTTTTTTTTTTTTTTTTTTTTTCAAAATTGTCTTTTTCCTTTGCAACACCCTTTTAC